GAAGATTTCGGCGAGCACGATAGATGGAATAGCCCTTGCCGTTTCAGGAGAAGCGAGTCGTCTTCAGTCAGCTGGCCGTCGCTCAGAGTCCCCATCGCCAGGAACGGCGGATCATGAGGAAAGGGGTTTGATTCGCCTTGAGGAGGAGTGCACTCCGCCAGGCCCATGCCGGGCACAGAGCAGGAGAACGCCAGAAACGAACTATTCCAATTTGCGGTCGAAAGAAGTGATACTTTCTACACACACGAGCTATTTCCGCAACAACCTATTTCGCCTTTTGATCCATGTTGAAACCTATCGATACCGTTACGATGATGCTACTGCTAACCATAACGGCTCGACTTTCTTCCGAATCCGAGTCGACATCATCCCCCAACCTTGGCTTCTTTCAGCAGGCCTATCGGTCGTGTACTCGTCCGGTCAAAACGCCCACGGCTATTACGACATCTGCCCGAGCATTTTGCCGACACGCGTCCTCCCAATTGATTCACCCATTTGGCACGTCTTCATGAACGATGATGTGTCCGGCCTAAAGGAGCTGATGCGTCAACATCGACTGACCATTCGCGACCATAACCAGTGTGGCTACAACATACTAATGGTATGGATGGCAAGAGGCAATCTTCTTTCATATGGCATGTATTCTGACACTGGTGTTCAGGTTGCGATTATGTGGAGAGCCGCAAAGGTAATCCGGTACTTTCTCCTCGAAACTCCGTACGGAGAGGTGTTAGTAAATGCATCCAATATGCATTTTGATAAAGCCTGGTACATGCTTACCTTCCTTCGCGACTCGGAGGCTAATAAGCACGTTGTTGAACCCCAGTCTGTGGAAGATATCCTGCACTTACTGGAGTCCAGGTTTCAAATTTCATCCAAGCCAGAGATATCTTACCTTCGTGGTTGGTTTAGATTCTACCTGTGTGAAACAAGAGACACACACCAGGCAACGGTACCAGACAGACGTGTAATCGACTGCGCTCAGGTTTTGCAAAAATATGGTGCCACAATCGACCCGTTTGAGTTGTTCAACGAAAAGAACATCGACAGGACCGAATATCTCGTCAATCTGTACCTGGCCACAGGTGGCAGCCCGAACCAGGTTAACGAGTTGGGGGGTTCGTTGCTTCTTGTGGCTTTGTATTTCTTGAGCAACTGCCGAATAGAGGCTAGATCTCCCAGGATTCTCGTGTCACTCATTCGGGCTGGGGCAGATATCCACTACATCGGGGCCTCGTCATGGATATCTCTATTCAATCACGCGGAGGACTACGGAGTGGGGGACCTTTGGGTGCGAGCATTGAGCGAATGCGGGTATGATGTACTCGATGTCTTCTATAAGTCGGAACGGCGGAAACGGAGGTATTATCTGCTTGATGGGGTAGTGCTGACTGGTGTCGATATTAATGATGTTGTTGATGAGTGCTCAACGTCGGGGCTCAGACGGAGAGTAGGGTACGCAGCTGAGCTGTACGTATGAGACGAATCTACACGTGCTGTGTCTCATAATCGCCATTGTCGTTCCTAGTCCTGGTCCGCGGTGAGAAACTGAATGGCTGGGGTGATTGCCCCTGACAACCTTTCCTGTAGAATAAGTCTTCCTTGTGCTAGGGTGAAGTGCATGGGGATGCAGGCGCTGCACTACCCCAGAGGCCTATGTTCAGCCCGCCCCTCACGGGCCACGGCGGGGCATGTGTGGCAGTTTTCCGACCAGCAACCTGAAACGTCTCTCAACAACAACAACAACATCGCCTCAAATGGCGGTATCTCGGACGGCATTGCGGCGGTTTTCTCCACGCTGCGCATCATTTTCATTGCCAGCGCCATCATACTCACGCCACCACATCACGAAAACCCCGAAATGGCCACTGCTCAGCAGCCTGTCTGCCACTGTCGGCTTCAGCACAGCGCGTCCACGTTCACTTCCACAATCACAGCCGCATTCCTTTGCCTCCTCAGGATATAATTCCATTGACCGCGATCAGTCCGTCGAAGAGGAAACAATGCCAGAATACAATCCCAATCATTTCTATCCCGTTAGCTTGGGCGAGATCTTTGACGGCAGATTCCAGACGGTGGCTAAACTTGGGTACGGATCGTCATCCACAATCTGGCTTGCCCGCGACCTTGAGTGAGTGAACTGCTTATTATCATATGAGGTTAAACGGCAATTAATCTTTGCCGTAGAGATCATCGATACGTGGCCCTCAAAATCTACATACACAACTCAGCCCGGCATCGGGAGTTGCCCTTCTACGTGCGGCTCGGCGAGGTCCTCCCCAGCAACCACATTGGTGCTGCCAACATCAGACACCTCCAAGACTCCTTCGAGATTATTGGGCCTCATGGGAAGCACAGAGCACTCGTTCTACAAGTCTCGCAAATGAGCCTCCGTGACATGGATACCGTTTTCATGAAGGGTCGCGGTTTCGACGAGGGCTTTGTCAAGAGCGCCATCAAGGAACTCTTGCAAGCTGTTGATTTCTTGCACACTGAAGTGCAAGCAGTCCACACTGGTATGGATCTCTCCTCGGTTTCCTCGTTGCGCATCATTTATGAACCAAATCTACGTCACCTAGACATCCACCCTGGCAATTTGCTCCTCGGCCTAAACAACAACTCCCTCTTCAAAGCTCTCGAAGAAAACGAGCATGCCAACCCCGTTCCCCGGAAGGTCCTTCCCGATCGGACCATCTACCTCTCCCGTCTCATGAAGCCCAAAGTCGGGCCATTACTTCTCTCGGACTTTGGCGAAGCTCGACTGGGACCCGGTCCGCACATTGGCGACATTATGCCCATCATGTACCGCGCTCCCGAGATACTCCTCCACATCCCATGGAGCTACCCGGTGGATATATGGGGCGTTGGACTTACTGTAAGCCCCACCTGCTCACCTGTGTATGTATACATGCAGATAACACACTAACAGCCGTGCCTCCAGACATGGGATCTTCTCCAGGGAAAAACCCTCTTCACGGCCCGCAAAGAAGACGGCAGTTTTTCCGACGGCGTTCATCTCGCAGAACTCATCGGAGCTTTGGGACCACCACCCGCCGATCTGCTTGCCCGAAGCGGTGAAAGAGCGCTCGAGTACTGGGATGAGGACGGGGCATGGGGTAACTTCGTTCCTATCCCAGCCCAACAGACGTTGGATGCGGCCGAGTCGAAACTACAGAACAAGACCAAGTTCCTGCAGTTCATGCAAAGAACCCTGGCCTGGGATCCTGCCAAACGTCTGACAGCAAAAGAGCTGTTGGAAGACCCTTGGTTGCTCAAGTAGATGGACCGAGCAATACACGGGTTGGCAAGGATGATTATTGTTGTATTAATGAGTGTGACCAGTAAAGAGTTCGAGTTGTTCCACAAGCGCGATACCTGTCATCCCTTGTGCCCTGCATAACTGTGACATCACGTCGTAATTTCAAAACGCCATGGACATAATTAGGTCCCGCTCCGTGTAGCTTCGAGTTCCCCATTCGCGGCTGTCCAAAAAACAAAAACCAAAAAAAACAAGCATAATCGCATTCACAAGGAAAAAGAAGAGCCACAGTAGAAGCATTAAAGAGGGAACAGAACCAAAAAGAAAGAAAGAAAGAAAGAACAAAAGAACCCTACCGCTCGCCAAGAATCTCCTCAAACGTCGTCGCGCGCTTTCGCCCGCCCGCTCCCTGCCGGCGTGGCACCGACGAAGTCGCTTCGCGCACCGTCGACGCACGTCTAGGCCAACCAATCTTACCCTTCGCTGCTCCCGTCTTCATCGTCGCACCATCTCCCGACAGACCGTTGGCCGTGCCCCCCGAGCTGCGCGACAGGAACCGAGCGATGCGTACGACGGTATTAGACCGCCCCAGCGCATGCTGTCCCTTCTCCTCCGTCTCGACCAGCGTCTTTTCGTCACTGCTTGTGATGGTGCTGCTGCTGCTGTCGGCTGCCGTCTTGTCCGGCAGCGAGGGCAGCGCCTTGCCTGCTTGCTGGTGCAGTCGCGACGGCTGGTGGGACTCGCTTAATCTCGCTTTCTTGGGGGTGGCCAGGGCGGTTTCGGACCCGAAGCCTCCGTCTTCGTCGTCGTCATCATCGGTGTGGGCATCGGCATCGTGCAGGACGTAGGGCTGTTCGTCGCCCTCGACGTCGTCGGGGATGTGCACGCTCGGCAGACGCGGGGCGTCGGGGCCCTTGACGCAGTGCATGCGGCCATACTGGCTGCCGGGGGCGCCCTCCCAGTAGCTGCCGTCGGTGTCGCGGTAGGTGTAGACCTGGGTGTCGGCGTCGTAGCCCACGCGCGTCATGCCATCGGGTAGGCGCTCTTCGTCGGTGTCGAGATGGGCCCAGCGACCCATGATGTGGATGGTTGAGGTTGGTGGGGGAGGTGGGCCTGCGTGATAGCTTTCAAGGGCCCTGTCGATGCTTATCGATAGCGCAGCTGACTGTGCTGGAGGGCTGGGTCGAGTGGGGCCGAGTTCGTCGTTTGGCGTTGGATGCAATGGAACAGTGTGAATCAAGACAAGAACCGTTCACGGAAGGATAGTTGTCGAAGGGAAATGCAGACAGGTAAAGCGTCATTCGAGCGCGGCAACTGCCAAATGACACCGCACATTCCCAGGCAACAATCAAGGTTTCACATTGCACCGTGACTGGCCCAACTGGTGGTCTTGCTGCAAGGATCTGTGGGCTGTTTCGGACGCGGCTAAGAACGTGAGGCAGGTGCTCTCCGCCTCGATTCGCTTACGTCACTGCCTTCCATACAGAAACGAGGGATGGCGGTACGAATTGCCAGCTCATCGGAGCAACGATCCACCAAAGCCTTCCACAACTGTTCGCAATGGATACCTGGTATCATGGATGGGTTCGAGAATATGTGGATGGAGGGACCCGCTCATTGTGTGTGGAGTCTCTCGGCCTGTGGTGGACGTCGCGGCTGTCAACCTCTCCCCTCCTTAGAATGAATTAGGTCAGAGGGAAAACATAAAACAGGGTTAGGGTTATATAACCCAGCCTGATTCGGTTTGGTGGTCTAGCGGTATGATTCTCGCTTAGGGTACACCCTGAACAAACAAGTTGCGAGAGGTCCCGGGTTCAATCCCCGGCCAAACCCATTCTTTTTATCCAACCACACATGTTATTACTTTATTTTTTGGTTAATTATAGGTTTTTTTTAATATCGTTATAAACTAAGTTTACTAGTCTATTATTATTAATGCTTAATTATAAGGTAATTATATAATTTACTAATATATATAGTCGGAAAACCCGCCCGCTTTTAAGTATTTCTTTAAGTACTTTTTCGCTAATAATAAAAGCGAATCCGGATATATCTTTTACAATTTTAGCATTTGGAACAATGGAGTTTTTAAGCTAGAAGACAAAAAATAAGCTTTAACGGGCTTGATTTGGCTACGTTATAGGCGATTGTGTGGGTTGGACTTGGTTACAGAGTATCGCGGTTACAAGTTAAAACGCCGACTCTGGTACAGAGTTAGCTACTAGGTACGTACCCCAACCGACGAGTAATCCCTTTTGGATATTAACAGAAGCTTCCCGCACTACGTGAGTTACATGCTGTTCCCAGCCGTGATTCTCCGCAACGCTCTTTCCCTTTCTCTCCTCCTGCCTCTGCTGCCCAGGAAAGTCTTGAGCGCGCCCAGATGCAGCAGGTGGCCTCTCCGCAGGTAAACGAAAACGGTATACGCCGAGCTCGCGGACGCGACAGCCGTCACCGAGAGCACCACGGGCCATTGGAAGTCCCCCGGGTGAGAGAAGACCATGGTGGACGCGTAGGACAGCAGCTCGAAGGCGTTCTGCCACGCCGCCTCGACGGACGAAAACGCACCGCGGTGCTCGGCCTCGACTTCCTGCGGCAATTGTTAGCCCGTCGTCTCCTCGCATGCCAAAGATAGGTGGTGACGAATACACACCTCCTGCACAATAAGCTGCGTGCACATATCAAACCCCCTCAATCCCAACCGGCTGAGTATCGTCCCGACCACGAGCCCGCTGGCCGCGACAACGGGGTTATTCTCCACGGACGCCGCCAAGAAAGTCGCAACACCCGCCACCAGCATGGCGACCTGCCAAGTGCTCATCCACAGACCGGCCCGCACCGGCCCGATCCAGCCCATCAGCCAGGGTGCAACCCAGGTCGCGAGCACCTCGACCAGAACACTCAGCGTGCGGGCGATGCCGATCTGGCTCGACGTGTACCCGGTCGAGAGCAGGTAGGTCACCATCTGCCCAGAGAAGCTGAGGACGGTCAGGTAGAGCAGCGCGCAGGCGAAGGAGGGGAGGAAGACGCGGTGGTGCAGGTAGAAGCCGAAGTTGGAAACGAACTTTGCTCCCGCGGCGCGGATGTGGTGCCAGTTGCTCTCGGATGCTGTTAGGGCTGGATTTGTGTGCTCTTCGGTTGGTCGTTGTTTGGGCTGTTGAAGGTTGGGCACGTTTTGGTAGACCTGTTCAATGGCAAAGTACTCGACGACGACTGACGCGACGTTCATGGCGAAGTTGGCCACGATGGCGACCTCGATCGAGACGCCGGCAATCAGTGCAATGAAGAGCGGGCCGAAGAGCTTGCACATGAGGTCGATGCGTCGCATTTGGGCGTTGAGCATCCTGAGCGCCTCATGGTCGTTTTCCGCCACGACTACGACCTGTAATGGCACGGAATGAGTTGGATCCTTGTGCAATTGAATAATAAAAGGGGTAAGTAAGTAATAAGTAACCAAACGCACCCAGTCCTTTTCTACCGACACAAGATTCATGATGGACGTGAGCTTTTCCATGCAGGCCAGGACGGACAGCAGGACCAGCATCCCCGTCTTCGCGACTTCTTCAAACGGGAGTCCTCTGGCCAAGAGGTAAAAGATGACGCAAGACGCCGCCACGGCAAGCCGTTGGAGAACTATCACGAACAATTGTCAGCTAAGAGTGAAACAGCAATTGGGCCATATTGCACAAGAACTGAATGGCAAATGGCCTCACCGATAGAAACCCTCACGACCTGCAAGCGGTTGCCGGCATCAACATACTGCCCCACCGCCGGCGCAAACACAATGGCCGACAGCCCGCGCGCAAACGCGTACAGCGACAAGGGCAGGAGCGTCCCCGGGTAGATGCTCGCCAGGTAGAGCACGGCGCCGAACTCGAAGACGCGCGAGTTCCATGTGGACAGGAAATGTGACATGTACAGTCTCGAGGCGATATGGACGGGGATCCGGCGGTGCTGGACGACATGATGCGGATTGGCCGACGTCGTGGCCCCGGAAGGCGTGGTTGTGGCGAGTAGCGGCGACCGCTCCTCGTCGTCGGCGGTGGTTGGACGAGATGCCATTGGCTGCAGATAGCTCAGGCCTTGAGCGGGTGCTAGGCGCAAGTAGGTAGAATTGATGTGCCAAGTTCTGGCAATGGGTGCGATGCTGGTGGTGCAAGTTCTGTGGTCTGAGTTCAAGTACCTTACTGAAAAGGTTTGCGTGCTTTGGCGAATCAAATGGGTTGATTCAATTTCCGGGTTCGCCCAGTGCAGAGGCACAGACCATTGGCGATTACCTCTGCAGGCACAGACTCGTTCTCCCAAAAAGGCGTATATGGGTGTGTCCTCAATCCCTCTGGTGAAAGAAGTTAGGGGCGTGTTCTAATTGGCTATTAGCTGTCTATAAAGGTGGGTGACGCCAATAGTATATTGGCTATATCGCCCAGGGTCTAAGGAACTGAGTTTGATCTTCGCCAAAGTTGGATGCCCGGTGAGTTTAGCCAGGGTGCTCGTTGACAGAAACTCATCCGTCCGGTCCGAGGGTTATCAACGCAAGAAACAGAGAAGCATATCGCCGGCACTCACCTGCCACTTTCGTGGCACTTCAAGGCGAGGCCCTTGCTGGCTTGTTGGTTTTGTCGTTGCCTTGATGTAACCTGAGGTGCTCAGGCCGGGATTAAGAAGTGTACTCGCACGCAACCCCTATCTGACAATCAATGTTGGTCTTTTCTCGTATTGACTCGTAAGCAATTCCATATCGATATAGACAGCCACGTGTCCTGTATGTCCATTTCCATTATTATCGCCACGCTTTCCAATCAGGTTTTGGGGTCGCTTTCTTCTTGGCAAGTCACAGCTACCTATTCTGCCAAGCCAGGACAAAGAACACACTGTACCTCGAATACGGTGTAGACTTTTATTCCCGATAACAAAAACCCCCAAAATGGCCAACTTCACTATCGAGCGCTGCACGATCGACTACTCGGAGGCCATCTCGCGCAACAACGGCCGCGCCTTCTGGGAGCAGCCCATGTGGCGCATGAACTGGCCGGCCGACATGACGCGGGACTACCTGGTGGGCGTGATGCAGAAGCGAGGCTTCATGCGCCTGATGCAGGAGCGCGAGTCCTACCGCCACCAGATGGCCGTCGACCCGGCCACCGGCGCCGTGCTCGGGTACATCCGCTGGCAGCTTCCCGAGAGCGCGCTGGGTGGTGCCGGCGCCGACGTGCCTTGGCCCGAGGCCCAGGTCCCCGATGTCAGCCCCGAGGACCTGGAGAAGTTCCGCGCTCTCCGGGACACGACTCCGTGGAAGCCGAGGACGGATATGGATGAGCTGGACGATGTGAACGACGTCATCATGAAACGCATCTTGGCTGAGAAGCCTTACATCAGTGAGTGGTTTGCCCCTTTCTTCCTTTCTTTTTTAAAAAAGATTTCCTCTCTTGTTTATTCTTTTCTTTGTTTTCTTCTTTTTCTTTTCTTCTTTTGCTTTTCTTCTTTCTCTTCTTTTTCTACTCTTCCCCCTCTTCTATTTCTTCTCATTGTTTCCTGTTTTGTCCTTCTTCTTTTTCTTTTCTTCTTTTTGGAAAAGTGACGGTTCTTACCATTCTTCTTCCGCTAAACAAATGCTGCGCACAGAGCTCGACTACCTTGCTGTTGCCCCCGAGAACTGGGGCAAGGGTATCGCGAGCGCACTGGTCAAAAGCGGCGTAGAGGCGGCCGAGAAGTTGGGGCTTCCCATTTTCGTCTTTGCGTTCAAGGAGGCCACGGGTGTGTACCGGAGGCAGGGTTTTGTTGAGCGCGAGAGGTCGATCCAGGACGATACAAAGTTTGGTGGAAACGGGCAATACAATGTCTACTTCATGGTGTACGAGGTCCCGAGGCCGGCTTGAGGAGAAGCAAGGTGCCTCCGCCCCTGCTTTTGGTGAACCAGAGTTGGTTTTGATTTTCCTTTCCACGGGGTTGTTCGATGCTGGACTTCCTGGCTTGTTGGATGACCTTTCGTTGTACCTTTTCACAGCTGCACCAAACCTACTACCCGGTCAAGTCACATGTCGAAGTTCTGCGAGATTCAAGGGTGAAGCAAATGTTTGTATAAATTCAACTTATGCTTAAAAGATGATGAATGCACCAGCGAATAAAACAAGTACCTAATCAGCATAGAGAAAAAGAAACCACCCAATGGTCAAACAGGGATCCTGCTCAGTAGAGATCGCAGGCTATCCTCTTCCCCGGGGTTCGGTGCATTCGCCAGGAATCTGCGCAACAGGTCTCGCAGGTCAACTTGAATGACGTCGTCCGGGCCTCCACGGAAGCCAGAGCCACTGCGGAGAGGTATCGGCTGCAAAGGATCCGCTCCATAGTCAAGGAAGAGTCCCAGGATTTCCATCCAGCAAATCCTGTTCTGATGAACCGCCGAATTTCTCCAATCAAAGTCCATAAAAAGATTGTACCCTGTTTGTAGGAAACTCGGCCACGCATCTTTGGGGTCTGCGAGGTGCTGTAGAAGAGCTTTCGCTACCTCTGGCCTCGGGGGCTGACTTACGATTGGGGCGCCAAAGGAAATGGAGCCCATGGAGGATAAACTCGGGCTGCCACGTGCAGTGAAATACTCCCAGTCTGCGGTAATGCCGGCCAACAGAAGGCATGATTCCGTCTTGCAACCCCCACCTCCGTTGTCAAGCTGCTGGAGTTTGGTATCAACGTATAATGCAAGACCCCCTAGGGCCGCGTACGTTAGAAACTTATGCGGCTCCGTGTGAGGAAACATTCTATGATCATGTGAAATTCTTCTCATGGTTCGATCCAGCTCATCGACCAGCTGGATGTAGTCTGTGACCTGGTCGTGG